GGGAGCCCAACGCCCGAAGGGCCTGGCGCAGGTGGTGCCCTCTCCCCCGCCTCTCCGATGGAGCGGGCCTCCCTAGGCCAGAGGTCAGGGAGACCCCACTGTGTCACTGTGGGCCGGGCCCTCGAGGCAGGGGTAGGCACTGTGCGCCTCACCCGGGGACGCCTGGGTTGCGGGGCAGGATTCGGACCCTGGGGTCTGGCGCAGCGCGCCCAGCGCACACACCCGCGGACCCGCCCTCTCCTGACTCCGCCCATCCTGCCCTGGTCCCTCTGAAGAGGCCTGCCCAGTCCCCATCCCGGCCCAGCCCAGCCCGGGACACCACGGAGGGGGTGGGGGGCTCAGACCACAGCGGGAGCTGGAGCCAGACAGGGCTCAGGGCGGCGTTTGAGCGGGAGCCATGCGGGGCCGAGTGGCGTAGGCGGTCCTGCAGCCCTAACAAAGGCCCCGACGTCTGCGCATGTTGGAAGCTTGAGGGACCTGCTAGTGTGGCTGGCACAGGTGTGGGAAGGTGGCCCGTGGACGGGACTGGCTCTGGAGGCCTGGCCAGTGGCGGTGATAGGTGAGTGTTCCCTGGGACCCCGCAGTGCGGAGCAGGCACCCCGCTCTCCGAGCCCGGCGGAAGCTGAGGTTCAGTATGACAGCGAGTCAGGTTGGTTTCCCCGTCTCCCATTCCCACTTCAGACGTGTGGGCCACACCTGAGGACGGTCTTCAGTTCCTCCACGTGAAACCAAGCTCCGTCTGCCACATTGGGAAGCCAGGTGAGTCCTCAGGGCCCCAGTGGCCTCCTAACCCCCCACCCCAGACCATACTGGGGACCTGGAACCCCCGAATTCCCTGCTGAATGGCCGGAGCCGACCTCTGGGGCCTTGTGACCTCACTGGGTCTGAGCCCTGTGCACAGGGCTGTGCGGAGGGCAGCTGTCTGTAGTCAGGGGACCGGCTGGGGGGAAGCTCGGTGGCCCTGGAAGTGCAGGCTGGAGCTGGTGGGAGCTGCCCGCGGGCCGCCCACAGCGCCACACTCTGGCCCAGGCCTGCAGGAGCCCACGTGCTGAGTCCAAGCCTGGCCAGGAGGTGGACATGCCTCCTGGGGCTGCTGTAGCGAGCGCCGCAGACTGGGTGCCTGAGCACCACAGAACGTATTGCCCGGGGGCTCTGGAGGCCGCACTCGGAAGGGTCTGTCCCAGGCCCTTCCAGCTTCCAGTGGTTCCTCGGCTGTGGCAGCAGCACTGCGGGCTTCACATGGCTGCTTTGTCCCAGGTGCGTATCTGTCCACACTCCCCCTTTGCACAGGACACCAGTGCTGCTAGGTTAGGGCCCCTAACAACCTCGCTAACTTGACTGCATCTGCCTCTAAAAGAGGGCGTGTTCTGAGGGATGGGGGTTAAGACTTAAGCACAGTTCAGTCCATAACAGACATGTTTTCTCGGCCATCTGTGGCTTAGCTACACGTTCTGGTGTTCAAGCACGTGGGCCAGCTTCTGCCTGTACCAGCTGGGAGCTGGGTGGCCCGAGACCTCCTTCCTGTGCCAAGGAAGCCATGCGTGTTGCCACACCTCAGGACCCACCTGCTGCCAAGGCTGTCTCGGGGCGCACGGGGGACCCTGGGGCTGGTTCTGGAGGTGGAAGCCTGGCCAGGATGGGCCTTGCCTGGCTGCCCCATGCACCTTCCCAGGGCCTCCTGGAGGGTGCCAGCAACGCTGACGGCACAGGGAGAGAAACTAGGCCAGGTTCTAGCCCATCACAGACAATAGACCAGCTGGGCCCTCTACACACCTCTCCCCACCTGACAGGCCTCCCCGTGCTGGGGCCTTAACGTTCTCATCTGAGGGATAGAGAAGGTTCTGTCGCCTCCTGAGGCAAGGGAGGCGGTGACCCGCTCCAAGATGGCACAGCGCTTGCACGTGGGCACCTGCCACCTGCTCCTGGCTCTCCCAGCTCCCCAGGCTCTCTGCGTCCCAGCCCAGACCCGGAGCAGTGCCTGGGTGGTGCTGGGCTGGTGTCTCCTTGCCCTCGGGCTCAGCCACCTCCTCAGGAGCCTTCCCTGATGCCTGCCCAGCACAGGCATGCTCTGACCTTAAAGCCTGTGCCATGTCTGCGAGTTGGAGAGAACATACGGCTTCCTTGGTGGAGACAACATGTGGGCAGCTGGCAGGGAGGCAAGGAGAGCCCAGCACAGATGCCGAGGAACTGACTATAGCCTTGACCTCTCTGCATTTGGGGGTCCAGCTCCCACCCCATTACTTACTCCCCCGTCTAGGTTTGCAGCTGGGAGCACACAGTCTGGGGTAAGGAGCCAAGGAGGCTGGTTCAGGGGGAGGAGTCTGAAAGTCCTGGGCCTCAGTGTTGTGCTCTGTAAAATGGGCTTCCACATGCTGCCAGAGATATCGGAGCGGGGGGGATGGTTAGGGTCTAGTCTGGCGGTCTCCTCTTCCCACCAGTTTAGCTGAGGCATTGCCTGCCTCAGCCCCAGCCTCTGGCACAGCACCCACAGCACTGGTGGCTGAGGGAGCCCGGGCATCAGCCTGGTAGGGGAGGTGGTTATTGGTGTGTTTCCCTCAAGTTCAGTCATAACTAGAATTGTAAAATGCCTCTTGTTTTTCTCTAAATAAATATTCTTCATCTTTACTTCAAATCCAAGTCTAAGAAGTTCCATTGCAAGATAAGTGTCACATAAGCAGGTGACCTCGTGGGCTTGGCCTCTTTTTCTTTTAAGCTTTTAAAATTAAAAGCATTTTAAAAATAAAAGTAATCTGAGCTTGTAGCTCCAAAGAGCGGGGTATTTGGGGAGAAAAGAATTTCCCCCAGAGCGTTGGCCTGTCAAGGGCACCTACCCGAGCCAATCAATGATTCTTTCTCATCATTGATGCTTCTCTCTCTCTCCCTCTCCCTTCCTCTCTGAAATCCATTTAAAAAAAATAAATAAAAATTAAAAGAATTTCCCCCAGCGTCTTCTGCCAGGCTACTTGGTACCCTCCACGCACTGGCCCCGGCATTCCACAGGAAGAGCTGGTGCCCTTATGCAGGCAGCCGTTGCCTGGAGCCCACTCACCACCCTGGTCCGAACCCTGACCAGTGTCCTCCCTGCCAGGCGCCCGCACAAGCCAGGCTCGCCTGGGCTTTCAGGAGGAGACCATCGAGTCACTTCAGATGCCATCGGGCCCCTGGCCACAGGTTTGAAGTGACTACTTGGAGACACGACCAGCCCTGTGCGCGCCAGGCCTCCCCGAGCTGGGACTGTGTACCTGGGACTCCTCTGCCCTTCTGGGCAGCCCGACTGTGGTTATGTCTTCCTGCCGCTTGACTTCTTGTGTGTGAGCTTGGACCTGTTATCTAAGCAGAAAGCAGGACATGATAAAGGTTTCAGGGCGGGTGCACTGGACACAGGGACAGGACAGTTCTGAATTCCACCTGCAGGAGACACTGGCCTGCCGCCTCCCTCACAGATGGGAGCCCGAGGCTGGGAGAGCAGGACGGTCCTGGCCAAGGCGCTCGCTCGTGTGCTGGGTCCTGACACCTGACTGGCTGAGGGCTCCCTTGTGGTGATAGGGCTGGGCGCCTGCTGGGGACAGGGTGTGTGCCCACCGCCCAGCTGCTCCAGGGAAGCAGCAGGAGGCAGTGCCCGCGGGTCAGGCATCCAGGGGCTCAGTGCACCCGCCCAGCCAGCGTGTGCAGGGGAGGAAGGGGGCACTCGACCCCCCACCAAGTGTGCCAGCCTGCTCTCCACACTCCCCTCCCTCCGTGCTCCCTGCTGGCCTCCCCCTGCCCAGCACAAACCCTGTGCCACTGGCCCTCTGTCCTGCACTGACAGCTGCACGGTCCTAATAAGCAGGCGCCCAGGGAGCTTCTTCCACACCTGAGACAGGCTCAGGCCTGATTCTGGGGGGGAGAGGGGCTGGGGCGTGGGTGGGGGGGGGGGGGGGGGGGGGGCTGCCTCAGGCGGCTGCAACGGGGTGATGGCTGCTGGCAGCTTGAGCTCCCAGGGAGGCCCTGTGCCTTGGGTCCCAGAGCTGGAGGCCAGGGGCCAGTGCATCTGACCTTCCGGAGCAGCGGCAGAGAGAACCCTGGGCAAGGCCGCACGGCAACAGCCCCGCGCAGAACGGCTGCGGGCATGCTGCTCAGCCTCCTGGTCCCGGCTAGACGCCTCCCCAGCAGGGAAGGGGATTTGAGCCTCCTCACCGCGCGGTGGCTGGCTTCTGGGAGCAAACATCCCGAAGACGAAGGGGGAGGGGAAGCTGCCGCATCTCCAGGCTGTGGCCGTGCTCACTTCTATTGCCTCCTGTTCTCTACCCCACCTCTTCCTGGGTATCTGAGGCCCTCCACCAGCAGCCACCAGAGCCTAGAGCCCCGTGCGGCTGTGTGTGCTCCCTCTCCTGGGGTAGAGGGTTCTGCACTGGGCGGAAGCTGGGCCACGGGGCTCTTTTGTTAAAGAGAAACAATCGCAGATCATTGGCCTCAAACAAGGTCACCCTGAGACAAGGTCACCACCATCCGTCACCTTGTCTGCACAGGGGCGAGTGACGATGGCCCGAGCGAGCCAGCAAGCGTCCTTGTCCTGGGAATCTGAGTGGCTGTGGCCTCCTTACCAACTGTGGCCTCGGCTCCCCCGCCCCCGCCCCCCGCCCCACACACACTTTCTACTAAATGTATTGATTCCCAAGCATAGAACAAGCCTCACTTCCTAACCGCATCCCATCCAGCCTGCGTCCTCCCCGCCTTAGTCCTCCCTGACACACCTGGGCTTTCCGGGGGAGGGGGACCCAGCGTGGTTGGCCTCGGGCAGACTCCAGGTTCGGGCTCTGCTGGGAGCAATGGTGCCCGGGGGCTTCCCCTCAGCCAAGCTCCGTTGCCTCCAGACCTCAGATGCTTGACAGCAGCCTCCAGGTACCGGTGACCTGAGCACCACACCAGGTACCACAAGCCAGGGGCTTCCAACAGCAGTGGAACCCCGGCTCCTCCCTGTGCTGCCCGCCGCCCCGGGCCTCCACCTCATCGGTGTGTCCTCTCCTCACAAGGACCGAGCCACTGGGCTTAGGGTCCAGCCCAGTGCAGTGTGACCTCAGCTGAGCACACCTGCAGAGACCTTCTCTCCAAACAAGGTCGCATCCTAGCGCTCCAGGTGGGCACGAATTTGGGGGGAACACTATTCAACCCCCCATCTTCTGTCTGACCCCCTCAAAAGTCACTTTGGTCCCATGTTTAAAATACACCCTCCTCATCTCAACATCTCTCCGAGTCAGCTCAGTCCAAAGGGAGACAATGGAGGGGATGACCGGGCCACTGCCCCAAGCAAGCCCGAGCCCCGTGCCAGTCCCGCGAGCCCCAGGCCTGAGAAGAGCCTCTTGCGGCCGGACGCTGTGTCCCTGGTTCCTGTAGCCCCTCCTCTTGGGGGCCTTGCAGCAGCCTCAGCCCCACCCTCTCTGGTCTCTGTTTGCATTCATGGCTTTGCCCTCCAAGTTCTTCTTCCTTCACTCCATTGCTCGCTGCTCTCGGACCAGGCTGGCGGGGTTTCTGCTCGTGTAACATTCTCAGACGCCGCGTTGGCCTCCCATGTGATTCACAGGGGTCCACACCATCAGACAGGAGCTCCAGACCCCCCAGCACCTGACCTCGGTCCCGCACCCCACTGGCCGGGGGCACCCAGGTCCCACCGAACCTCCTCAGCAAGTTCTTCCCACCATCGTGTTCTCCTTGGTGTTCTTTTCGGACCACACTTTCTAAACAGTGAACTTCCTTTTCTTTTTTTAAATATACCTTCATTGATTTCAGAGAGGAAGGGAGAGGGAGAGAGAGAGAGAAACACCAACGATGAGAGAGAATCATTGATCGGCTGCCTCCTGCACGCCCCCAACTGGGGACCAAGCCCACAACCCGGGCCTGTGCCCTTGACTGGAATTGAACCTGGGACCCTTCAGTCCGCAGGCTGACACTCCATCCGCTGAGCCACACCAGCCAGGGCTAAACAGTGAACTTTCTAATTTTAACTGTCTGGACGGGCTAAGGACTTCCTTCCCAAGTCATCGAGCGCTGGTTCCTTTCTGCTTCACAGTTTCTTCCCCAATTGACTTCTCTCCTCTGAGACCGTCCTACCTGCAGCAGGAGACCCGGCTCCACTGCCCACACCGGCGTGGACAGTCCCTCAGCGAAACGTTCATCCCTTAAAACGTCTACTTTCTGCTCAACACTAGACCACAGTTCAGCCACGTTTCTGCCTCTTCACAGGACAGTCTTCATCCCGTTTCGCAGAGCCTGTCCCGCAGCCTCTGAGCCTCAGCCTCTGAGCACGCGCCTTTCATGCTCACACCCCCGCCGCGTCCGCTGCTGGGACGGGCGTGCTCTGAAGCAGGCCCTGCTCTGCCTTCTCCTCACTTCTTCCTGCACTCTCGCAGGCTCACCTCCCACGTTTCTGTTCCCATCAACAGTCTCTTCAAGGAAATCTAGGCATTTCCATCAGAAGCCTCAGAACTCCTCTAGCACCTGCACACGCCCGCGTCCATGGCATTTCCAGCGTTAGGTATTGGGTACAGCAGCATCTCTCTCCTCTGCAAGCTGTGTGGTGCTTTGCTACGGCTGCTGTGCAATAGCCACACACTTCATGGCTTCATGAAAGAACGGAAGTTATTCTCTTATTGCTCTGGGGGCCAGGAGTCCAAAGGCAAGGTGTCAGCAGGCGCACTCCCGCTGCGAGCCCGCGGCGAGCCGCCTCTGCCTCTCCAGCAGCCGGCCCTCTTGGTGACCTTTGGTGCCCTTGGCCCGTGGTGACCATGCCAGTCTCTACCCCCACCATCGCCTGGCCTTTCCCACGTGTCCTCTCCTCGGCAGTGGTTTTAGGACCCACGCTCTCCCCAGTTTAACTAACTACCTCTGCAAAGACCTTATTTCCAAATAACGGCACATTCTGAGGTTCTGGGTCGACATGAGCACTGGGGTGACACTGTTCAACCCCGGACACCAGTGTTGGCATCCTGCCCTTCTTCGCCTCGCTCTCCACTGCGTTACTGTTTCCTGGGTCCCCTCCTCCCATTGCACGCACATTTCACACCTGCGCAGGAGCTGCTGCGAGACCTGCCTGAACACAGCCCGCACTGGAGCTCCTGCAGCACGGACAGCCACCTGAGCACCGGCCCTGCCCTCCGCTGCTAAAGCCCCCCTGGACGCAGGGCCTCCCCTCGGAGTTACTGGGACCCTCCTCAGACATAGACCTCCTGCTCTGAGTACTAGGGAAACACCCGAAACACTCCCCTACTCTCTGTATCTGGGGACCCACCTAAGACACTACTCCCTTCTGAGCTTTGAGAACCCACCTAAACATGGGCCATCTACACTGAGCTGCCGGGGACCCACCTAAGACACACACCCCTGCTCTGAGCTACTGGGGATCCACATAAGAAATGGCCCATGCTCTGAGCTATGTGAGCCCTAATTAAGACATGAGTCCTTCCCTCTACACCAGTGGTTCTCAACCTGTGGGTCGTGACCCCTTTGGTGGTCAAACGACCCTTTCACAGGGGTCGCCTAAGACCATCCTGCATATCAGATATTTACATGACGATTCATAACAGTA